CATGGATGAGGTATGGGGAATCTGCAGAGTCCGGGATATGTCCATGGTTGAGGTATGGGGATGGAAATGAAATTCTGAAAAGACTCTAGAGTGAGGAAGCATTTGAAAAGATTCATTCCAGATTTCTTGCTAGTCCCATAATGGCTCCCTCAATCAAGATATCTCTTTCCGTGCTCTCTGTCTCTGTCCTTGCCCCATCTTGACTATCCCATTCCCTTAAGTTCCTCTCCTCCTCCCCTTCTGCCCTCCCTTTTCCCCAACCCCATGCTCCCAATTTTCTCAAGAGATCTTGTCTACTTCCCCTTCCCAGGGGGATCCGTATACATTTCTCTTAGTGTTCTCCTTGTTACTTCTCTGGGGTCATGGACTATAGGCTCATTATCCTTTGCTTTACAGCTGGTATCCATCTATGAGTGAGTACACACCATACACATCTTTCTGGGTTTGAGTTACCTCACTCAGGGTGTTTTTTTTATCTAGTTCCATCCATTTGCAATTTCAAGGTGTCACTGTTTTTTACCCATGAGTAGTACTCTAATGTGTAGCTGTGCCACATTTTCTTTATCCATTCTTCAGGTGAGGGGCATCTAGGTTGTTTCCAGGTTCTGGCTATTACAGATAATACTGCTATGAACATAGTTAGAAAAAAAAAAATCCTAGAAATCCACGAGGATGATCCGAGCTAAGACCCTAAGCAATAATGGAGAGGGTGCCTGAACTGACCTTGCCCTGTAGTCAGATTGATGACTATCTTAAATGTCACCATAGAACTTTCATTCAGCAACTGAGGGAAACAGAGGCAGAGAGTCATAGCACAGCACTGGGCTGAACTCCCAAAGTCCAGTTGAAGAATGGGCAGAATGAGAATATGAACAAAGAGGTCAAGGCCGTGATAGGGATACCCACTGAAACAGATTACCTGAGCTAATGAGAGCTCACCAACTCCAGCCAGACAGGGAAGAAACCAGCATGGGACCAAACTAGGCCCTCAGAATGTTTGTGACAGTTGTATGCCTGAGGCAGACTGCGGGGCCACTGGCAGTGGCACCAGGATTTATCCCTACTGCTTGTTCTGACTTTTTGGAACCCATTCTCTTTGGAAGCATACCTTATTCAACCTAGATATAGTAGGGAGGGCTTTGGTCCTTCCTCAAAGCAACATGCCTTACCCTCTCTGGGGAGGGGAGAAAAGTGAAGAAAACAGGAGGAGGGGAGGGGCTTGGAACTGGGATTGGTATGTAAAATATAAAAAGATAGGTTTCTTTTTGTTGTTTTTTTAAATAAAAGAAAAAAAGGCTCATTCCTTCTGGAAAGGCCTTATTGAGTGACTGTAGTCCCTCTAGTTTGTGGTTCAGGGTATGAAGATTCAGGTGCTATTAATGTTAAAATCTTACCTTGAACACAAATACAGTTTCATCCTATGAGCCTCATAGTGTTTTTTAACATAAATGTAAGCTAAGATAGCTATGACATCACTAGGCAACATAATTTCATAGGACCATTGACATACATACATACATACACACATACATACACACATACACACACACATTTAGTCATCATTGACTAAAACTTTAGTATTTATTTGGTTTGTTTAGTTTTAGATGTGTGTTTTTTAATAGGCATATCCCACAGCTAACAGATTTAGCTTTTGTACCTTACATTCCTATATGAGAGCCCTCTCTTTGCGGCCGTATGTCCACTCTAGATTCACCTGTGTGGTGTGCCCCCTTAGGTAATGTGGGTGGAAGAAAATCTCTAGGGAGAAAGTTCTAGACTGTTGTAGTTACAGTGTGATCAGAATTCTTTTTGTGCTAACTGAAGCTCAAGTCCCGATATCGAATGTAACCCAGTAGCATTTATCTCAGTTTTAAGTTCTTACAGGGTAGGATTTAGGAGCTGACTCTTTCCCCATACCCCTTTCTCACCCCCAGCTTCTAACTTAGTATCTGGCAGTCAGCAAACATGTTTGGGTAAGTTATGAGAATTCGTGCAGAATAAAAGGAGGGCTGTCCTCTGGTGTGTCACTGTCAGGGTTAGATTGGTTTATGGGGTTGCACTGCTGTCTTAGTACCGGGTACCACAAAGACTCTTATGTTACTTTTGTCTCTTTGTTTGGTTGGTGTTTGTTTTGTTTTGCTTTTTCAAGACAGGGTTTCTCTGTACAGCTCTGGCTGGCCTGGAACTCACTCTGTAGACCAGGCAGGCCTCAAATTTACGGATATCACCTGCCTCTGTCTCCCAAATGCTGGGATTATAGACTTGCGCCACCATTGCTTGACTTACTCTTGTCTTTTTGATACAGTTGCTGATCTTTGATTTTTCCGTTATGGATGAAAGGAAGTAAACATGAAATTAAACTTTTAGGGTTATCTGAGCTATAGAGCTTGAGCAGTATGCAGCATCTAACTTGCTAATCATTTTTGTTTATAGGATGTGGCTTTATTTCTACAAGAATTTAAGGCTCCTGATATATTCATGGGAGTGCTGGCCAAATCCAGGTGTCCCCGATTAAGAGTAAGTGTATACAGTTCTGCTCTTCTCTTGTTTTGCTTACTGGCTATCAGCAAATACATCGGTGTACAAATGTTATTGGACATTCTTAGGTAACGCACTCCTTGAAATAATTAGATATGTAGAATTTTAGGTTTGGATTAGATTTGGGAGATCAATAATTTGATTTAGCGGCTGTGGAAACCAGATAGACATAGCCATGCTAGGCTGCTGCTCTGTGGCAGGACAAGAAGCAGTGCCTAGTTTACCTCTTAGTTCACTGTGCCCATAGTCCAACTGTGAGAACTCTCCGCTCTAAAATCTCCCCATCTGCTCCTCCTGGTCGAGAGCTGGCTGCGTCGTGTCTCCCTTGCTAGCCTTCCCTTCTCTTTCTCTTACTCAATGTGGCACTTTTCTGCCTTGTGGTCATTGCTGAGAGCAAGTTCCCAAGAACAGCAGGTGGAACCACAGGAGCGGTACAGTGTCCTGAGTTTTACTGCCACTTAGGTCTCTGTGCAGTGCACATGATGTATGACTGTTAATATGTGCTGAATGATTGTAGTTGTAGTTTATGAATATTCACTCTCTACCGTTTACCTTCCTCCTCCTTTGAGACACACGTAATAGATAAAAGAACTGAGTCTCAGACTAAGATAATATATCCAAAGTCACACAGCTTGTAAAGATGGAGCTGGAGTTTGAGCTTATGCCCATCTCTAGTATAACCCTGTCATTGCTTCTTTTTCTTTGAGATAAAATGGAAAATTCCATAGAGTGTATTACAAATTGAATGTTGAATTAAGGTTTTTATAAATATGTTTATATATTTCTGTCTATGGATGCTTTGTCTGCATGTCTGTCACACACCAGAAGAGGGCACTAGATCTCATTATCAATGGTTGAGAGCTACCATGTGAGTGCCAGGAAGAGCAGTCGGTGCTCTTGACTGCTGAGCCATCTCTCCAGCCCCTTGAATTAAGATTTTTATTTAGGGGAATGCTCCACCCATATTGGGTCCTTATATTTACACAAAGTGTTGGTGATTTTGTGGCATTCCCTCCTTGATTTTACTATTTTTTTTATATTAGACATGATGAGTTCAGGAATTAGCCACACTGCTGTAAATGTGTCATGATCACAGCCTGCTACAGCAGTGGTTCTCAACCTTGGCCTTGTGATGGACACACTGGTCTAAATGTCAGCATGGCCCAGATCACTGGTGCTGAGCCCACCCCAAGAGCTTCTGGTCCAGCAGGTTGGGGCAGGACCTAGGTGTCTGCTGTTTTCCCAGGTGATGTCAATACTTTAGATCAGGGCCATACTCTTTTCAAAAACTTTGTCCTGGAGGACTTTCCAAAGTCATGTGACATCTCCATATGTGGCATTCTAAGAGTTTTTCACATCTACCAGGGATTCTTCTATGCAGCCTACACAGGAGGTTGGTCTTCAGCGAAAGTTCACTCCTTCCCTCACTAGCTTATAAGAGAACGTGTGTTTTCTGCCCCAAATCTCTTGCTCTTTTGCCAATGTTTGAACCTTCTGCACTTTACTAAAGCTCTCTTTAGTTTCTCTCTAACTTTCCTCAGCGTTTGTCCCTTCCTATTTCTTCCTGTGCCTGAGTCTGGACTCTGTCCAGAGTGAACACCCCTGTTCTCTTTACAGCCATTTTCTTAGTGAGTCTCAGCATACTTCCAGTGGGGATTTGAGCTTGCGGTTTCTGTCTCAACCTTCAAAACGCTGGGGTTACCGGCATATGCCACCACAGCCGGCTTAGTGCCACCACAGCCGGCTTAGTGCCACCACAGCCAGCTTAGTGCCACCACAGCCAGCTTAGCTCCCTTTCTTACTCGCTTAGGCCACAGCTCTGTTCCTGCAATGACGCAAGCCCAACTCCCCTATTGGTATCTGGTGTCACTTCCAACTTTCTTCATGAGTTTTCAGCCTGTGTATTTTCTAATCCTATATCCATCCTCTGTTCTAATTCAATAATTATCACCCTGATGGTAAAAACCCCTGGTGTACTTGGTAAATACTAGCTACTGAGACTGTATGTAGCCTGGAGATTCTGATTCCGTGGAATTGATGGGGCTTGGAAACTGTCGACAAACTCCCTGAATGTTGAATCCCAGCAAGTTTGGAAACCATGTTCTGTGTAAATGCACCATGCCCTTCCATCCTATTTGTTCCTGTTGATATGACTGACACGTCTGACTGGGAAACCCTGGCAACTTCAGGCCTATAAACTGTGCCTTACACTCCCTCTTCACATTCTAACGGACTGTTTGCCATCTCCTTTAGTGTCTCGGTCCTTTTCCATGTCTGCCATTACCCCTCATTGATAATAGCAGCCATGTCTTCTTTTGCGGAGTACCCTGGTACATGACAGCTCTGGATTGCTGCTGTCTTCCAGTTGAAGATCCCAGGCAGGCTGCTGAACTTCCCTGCACTTCAATTTCCTCAGTTGAGAAGTGGGGACATTACAGTCCCATCTTGTAAATACTGTGTAAGATGACGCATGGACAAATGTTTCAGTGTATTGTGTTCCCTCTTTGAGAACCTCCGTGGCTCAGACACCATCCCATATTAAGTCTAAACCTGTGACACGACAGCCAAATCCTTTTCCTCTGCTCCATTTCTCTTGTGCTTCCTCATGGCTCCTGCGTTCTCTCCCTTAGTCGTCTGTGTAAGGATCCTTCCCCATATAACGCTTCTTCGTCTATGACTTTTGCTTTGGACCTCCTTTGTGTCTTCCATCCCTTCTCAACTGTGTGAGCTGTATAAACCGAGTATATAAATCTGGATGCCAGCAGTAAACGTCCGTATCTTGCCTCCCTTTTTCCTTTCCTCAAACTTGGTTCAGTAGAAGTTTTTGTTCAAGTTGTTATTCCTCATGGCTTTTACTTCACAGCCATTGTGACCTGTGTTACTTGGTTTGACAGGAAATCTGCGTGGGAATTTTAGGGAATATGGCTTGTTTCCGGGAGATATGTGTGTCCATCAGCAGCTGTGAAGATCATGGGTAAGTCCTACTACCTAATAGCCGTGTTTCTCTGGATGGGTTCTAAGTTTCTATTCCAAAGGAACCCTTGAACTTAGGCGAGGTGGAAGTGTGGGGTGTGCTGTTTTGTTGTCTCAGGACACCGTGGGTGTCGATGTGCCTGAGACTTCTGCACTAGCTGTGGACTTAGCCTTTGCATCCACGGTAAAGCATGAGTTACCACAGCGACTAAGTGGGTGAGGCAAAGAGTATGTCGAGCCTAAATGGGAGCTAGGGGCTGCCGGTCAGAATCCAGAACAATTTAAGCATGGAGAAGCTAAGGACTCAGACCTAGTCTGGGAAACTCAATTGCTGAACAGTTTTGCTCTGAGAACTTTGACCTAAGTAGAGGAGGGGGACTTGCCTACGGACCAGAAGATGAAGAGTTGCCTCTGGGATTAAAAGGCTGTCAGACAAGCCTAGCGGCTAGTTCTTTTCTAAAGCCAGAAAACTTTGGACAGAGGGATTTTTAATAGTGGAGTCTCAGGTGGTTGGTTACCATAGCAGATCTGAGAACGTGGTAACTTTGATGGGCACATTCATTTTCTTGGAGATGGTTCATGGCTGTTAACTTAATGATCTAAAGAGGTCTGTGTCCAGCATGCATTAAAGTGATTGTTCTTATTGGAGGATCATAAGGGTTTATCCCTGTCTTCAAGGGCCTGGGCCTCTTGAATTGTTTCTGTTACTTTCACACACAAGGTGTTCCATGACGAATTGAAGAACATGTGAACAGTGATATGTGTCATATAAAGCAGATAAAAAGATGCACAGATAACTAAAGGACATTTTAAGGAAAAACCATAGCTGCTTTTATATAAAATTAAATGCAAAATCAGAAATCTATTAACAAAACTATAGAGCAGAGCAAGGAAATGATCCCTGAGGAAGTCAGGGCCACCTTTTCTAGGTGGGAGAGGAACGCGGTGGGCAAAGGCAGCTGCAGGTGGTCAACTCTGCTCTGTACCTTAGAAACATGAGTTCTTCTCAACCTTTAGGTCATGACCCCTTCAGTGGGGGGTCATAAATCAGATATTTACATTACAATTCATAACATTAGTAAAATTGCAGTTACAAAGTAGCAATGAAACAATTTTATGGCTGGGGGGTCACCACATGAGAAACTGTATGAAAGGGTTGCAGCGTTAGGAAGGCTGAGAACCACTGCTCTAGAAATTATGAAATGCATTTATTTATGCTTTGTCTTACAATAGAAAATTTCTCAAGTGAAATGAAAACTGGTTATTTGCAATGATACTCATGGCTCACGGTGTCTCGGCAGGCAGGTGCTTCTGCAGTGTTTGTGCGACTCAGACCCACCCACTCTGCTGGAAACCAGCAGGTAAGCCTTTCTCTCATGGCCCAGAAATCACCCATCAGAAGCCCTGGGAAAGCAGAGTGGACTCTTGACTGTGGGTGGCCTCTGCTGTTGCCCACGTAGATACTGAGCTCACATTTGTCATGTAGGTTGTTGCTTACTTGCCTTTCCCAGGCAGAAGTGGCCAGTGTCTGGGTTGAAAGGATCCGGGAACATCCGTCCATTTATGCTAGCGTTTGCTTCATCATGTCAAGTTCAACAAATGGTAAGTCAGGATGCACTCTAGGGAGAAAGACGGGAGCATATCCTGGGAAGCTACTTTAGATTTTCATTTTTAAAATTTTATACTTTTATTTTTTAAATTTATGGTGTTTTCCTGCATGTAAATCTGTGTGTCTCTTGCATGTTGGTATGTGCCTGCTGCCCACAGAGGCCAGCAGAGAGATCCCCTAGGGCTGGAGTTCCGGACAGTTGTGAGCTATTTCCTGTGTGGGTGCTGGGAATCAAACCTGGGTGCTCTTAACGACTGGGCCATCTCTTCAGCCCCAGAAAGCCACTTTGCACTGAAGAAGATCAGCCAGTTTAAATGGGCTCCTGGAGACACCTGGGAGGAAGTGGCATCTTGGCAGGTTTGGCTCTTGGAGGAGCTTGAGGAGTTTGGCTCCCCCTTGTGGCTTCAGGCGCCCGGGTTCTCAGCTGAACACCTATCTTGACTGCAGTTGACTTGTTGGTGAAGGTGGGGGAGGTCGTGGACAAGCTCTTTGACTTGGATGAAAAACTCATGTTGGAGTGGATTAGAAATGGGACTGCCCGACTTCCGGACCAACCCCAGGAGGACTCCGAGGAGCAGCCAGTATTTTCTATTGTACCCAGTATACTGGAAGCTGCCAGACAAATACGGTAGGTGAACTCTTGGACAGAAGGGTCTGGAAAAATTCAGTTGTTCGAAACATCCTTAGATGGGAGAGCCTTAGTTTCAGTAAGCAGCCAGTCTCTCTTGGGTTTGTGGTGGCGGAGTATTTCCTCTGCCAGAATAGTACAGGCTCAGACATTTGCTCCAGTATGGCCTGTCATAGCTTGCTATGATGACTGACAGCAATTTTATGTATTTTAAATAACCAAGGAGAAAAGATTTTCATGTTTTATTTTACATTGAACAGGAAACAACTCATTGAGCATATTTGTTTTCTCCCTGCTTCCTTGTGTGTGCACACCAGTCTGTGTCGATGATCAGCTTGGGGGCTTTGATGTCTTGTCGTGAGAGGTAGTTGTTTATAAGTTGTTAAAACAATGTAGCACTGATGACTGCAAGATTAACGTTTGAATTATCTGCTTAGTTGTTAGCAGCTTATTCTCAGAACTTATTAGGCTATGTTAAAAGTTATTAATTTTATACCTTTTATCAAATGAAGATTAAGCCACACACATGTCTGCCTCTTCAGTGTTTCCAGCAGTGAATGATGTTGCCAGTGTGCCATCTAGAGAAGGTGGCAGAACTGGAAAGTCCCTCCTGACTACCCTGTCCAGCTCCTTCCTCATAGCCAGTTGACTCTTACTGTGACCCCCATCCTGGCATCCAGACCTCTTCTCCCTTGCTTGGACAAGTGCCACACTGTCCGCCTTCTGAGCTGCCTGTCCTCTGGCTTGCTTCTCCCGAGCCTTGCAGCTGCTTCCGTGGCGTACACCCCGTCTTGCTTTCGTGCTCCCGGCTTTTCAGTTGCCTTCCACAGGAAATAGTTTTAAATAGATTTTTAAAACAAACAAAACTGGCACACAGTCCTCCTCCCAAGGCCTGTCCATCCTTGTTCTTGCTTCTTCTATGTGAAATTCCATTCTGCGGATGAACCAGGCCCTCTTGTCTCCCAGCCTTTGCTCAGGGTGTCTCTCCAACACCACAACGCCTGCCTCTTCAGGTTCCTGTGGAAACTCCATTTCTCTCAAGATCTCTTCCCTGACCAAATTTCTGTATGGTCTTTTAGTGCCTGGGCCTTCTAGTGTTGAATTCATTTTGTTTTATGGTAATGGCCCTTTGATTACTTCTTTCCTCTCAGACTGTTATAATCTGTGTAGGTGGGTGTAGTATCTTAATACTCTCTGTCTTTCCAGCCCCCAGCAGTAAGTGCCCCAAAATGATAGATACTTAAGTAGATATAGCTGAGCCATTTAATTGTTCATGTTTTTCACTTAACTGTCTGGTTGAAGAAACCAGAGTTCTAAGAATTCAAACTATTGAGCAAAAGAATTAGGTTTTTATGTTTCTGCTGTTCTCAGCTAGGAAGCTAGGATGATCTGTGAACTCTAAAGAGCATCAGGACCATGGTGTCTGTGCTGTAGGCCTCACATCTTCCCATAGGAGTATCAGTAACGTACATATGTAGACCCACACACACTTGCACATACACTCACATACTCCTTCACGTACATGCACTCACACTCTCATGTACACTTACATTCACACACTTCATATATATGCTCACGGACTAATTCACACACAGACATACGTACACCTATACACACTCACCTATACATTCACATACATATATACTCACACTCATTCACACACTCATAATACATATACACCTTATCTTCAGTTTTCCCCATTTTAATGTCAGTGCTAGTGAGCAGAGTCTCCTCGGTTGGCCATTTCACGCTCTGCACGTTAGTATGAGGTAATAAACACCAGCAGAGAGAATGAGCATTGCTGTTCTCTAGACAGTGAAGTTAAGAGTGCTTTTGCCGTTTCTGTCTGCTTAGTTCTGAAAACCTGGAAGGGCTGGATGTTTACATGCACATCTTACAGCTGCTCACCACAGCGGACGATGGGATTCAAGCAATTGGTAAGGCGGTTTCTTGGGGCACACTGTCATTGCTCTTTAAGTGTTCACTATTTTTAGATTACTATTTGTAAAAAATATTTCTTAAGTGCAGTGTCCTGATACCGGAAAAGACACATGGAATTTACTTTTTGACCTGGTGTGCCATGAATTCTGCCAAGTTGGTGACCCACCCATCATCCTGCAGGAGCAGAAGACAGTGCTGGCCTCGGTCTTCTCCGTGATGTCTGCCATCAGTGCTTCATGGGCTGGACAGGAGCACCCCAAGAGGGAAGAAGGCAAGTGTAGTTCCCTTATTCCCATAGTAACGTAAAATGTTAAATGCTTAATACAAAAATATTACAAAGTTTCTAAAAGGCACCAAGGAAGGACTTGGGGGGCAGATCAGTAATGGGGTGCCCCCTGGTTCAGTCCCTAGGACCAAAAAGAAAGCAGCACCGAACAGTGTGGCTCTGCCCAGAAGAACCACCCCGACTTTAATCAGAAATACTCCCTAAAGTCCTCTGTGTTCTACTGACTCCATTGTACTCACAGCTCAGTGCCCAGAGTGCTTTGGTGATAAGGTTTTTGTCTCAGTACCCAGTGAGGATGGTCTCTATTCAGTCTGACACTCAGTCGCTCTGACTGTTCAACTTGTTCAGTGCTGAATTAGGGCGAAAAGGTCAAAGCCCCATGTGCTTCCCGATGCTTTCATTGCGATTGTGTTGAATGTGTGGTGTGTCTAGGAATACATTGTGTGGGTCTGTTTCAAAAGTGCCTTGAGGTTTTTTAGTGGCAGATCTTTCACTCTTATTAGGTTTATTCCTGCACATTTTAATTTTGAAGTCCTAGTCTCTGTTGCATGCTTTCTTCTACTGATGATTGTTAGACTTTATAGAGGCTGTGGATTGTTAACTTTGACTGTGAGACCTTTACTGACTTGCCTGTAGTTTGTTTTTGCTGTGCTTGAGGTGGGACTCAGGGCCTTGCACCTATAGGTAGGAATCCTGTTGCTATATCCACATTCCTGTCTTACTGTTTTTAAATCCTATCTATCTATCTATCTATCTATCTATCTATCTATCTATCTATCTATCTATCTAATGTGTATGGGTGTTTTGCCTGCACGCACACATGTACAACAGATGTCTGGTGTCTGTGGAGATGAGGAGAAGGTGTTGGATGCCCTGGGGTAGGGATTATAATGGACTGTGAGCCAACATAGTGGATGGGATTTGAACCAAGGTCCTTTGGAAGAGCAGCTGGTTGTTTTAACTGCTGAGCCATCTCTCCAGCTTTTGTCTTACCGTGTTTAGTAATAGTTCCCATGATAATCTTTCACTTTGTCTACCATTAAGTCACATCTACTTTGTCATTTTCTATCTCTGACTTCTTTCTCTTATCTAAGTGGGTCGCTTAGTGCCTGCTGGAGACATCTTTATCTTCTTCCCGACTGTTGAAAATGGCACTAGAGTTTTGCCATTTAGTGTAACTCAGCATACAGTGCTTGTTTTTGCCTCTCGAGGATATTTTGTTTGTTTGTTTGTTTGTTTTTTCCTGAGACAGGGTTTCTCTGCAGCTTTGGAGCCTGTCCTGGAACTAGCTCTTGTAGACCAGGCTGTCACAGAGATCCGCCTTCCTCTGCCTCCCGAGTGCTAGGATTAAAGGCGTGGACCACCACCACCTGGCTCAAGAATATTTTGATCTCTCTGTGTTTTAAGTTTTTTGTTTTGTTTTATAAATAAGCACTGTTTCTGAGTGTCAATTCTATATTTCTGGAGAGGTTACGTCACTGACCAAAGGAACCCCAAGTACCAGCTGAGGGAGGTCATCGTGCGAATACTCCAGAGGACGCATGACAGACGCAGACAGGCACACGGGAAAACACTGTGCACTGTGCTGGAGGAGCAGGGCTGAGGATCTGTGTGGCTAGGGTGGCTTAAGAGTGAAAGGAAGAAAAACAGTGCAGCTGCCAGGCAGTGGAGTGCGGAGAACAGGACCTGCTGGGAGGGAGATAGACTGGGTAGGTGTGGCTGGCCATAGACAGCCATGGGCTGATAAAGGTAGGGAGCCATGCGTAAATAGGGGTAGAGTAGGCAGGCTGTGTGGCATTGAGGACAAGCAGTGCTCTGGCTTTGCTCAAGGCAGAAACAGTAGAAATGCGGGAGGATAATACCAGGCTGTACCCTGTAGAGACTGCGAGAGTGAATGGGTAAAGGGAATGATCGCCGCCTTTGTGTTCAAAGCAGCTGCCACTTGCCGAGACGAGGATGACTGGCCTGAGCGTGCTGCCCCAAGGGGTCTGAGTGCGGGTGCTGAGGGACAGCTTAAGTCAGCAGTTGTGGGAGGTCTAAGCTAAAAATGCAGCTGTCATGGTGTCTGCCAAACCTCAGAGATTTCTTGGACTTGCTCTGACGTGAAAAATGAGGAGTCCTCCTCTTACTGCAGACGTGTTTATCTCGTTCTCGATCATCATGCAGTTTGTCCAGTGAGTACCATCATGCTGTCGTGGGTGTCATCTTTCTAGAAACCCGTGGGGAGATTCTTCGTGAGAGCAGGAGCATCCCACTTGTTGCTGTCGCAGGACTAGGCGTTCGTACTGCTGCCTGCTGTGCCACCCGTACTTCGTGCAGTTTGTGTGTTTAGGTAGAACATGGACATCCACGTTAACTCCTGTCACAGTTAGCTGTCTCCTTTCCTCATTGTTGATCCTCTGCTTGCCTGCTTCAGGCCTTTCAGAGAAGCTCTGTGGAGTTGGGGGTTATTCCAGTTTTGTGTGATGCTATGATACAACACTGACCATAATCAACTTGGATGTAGGAAGGCTGTCTATTTGAGCTTCTAAGTTACAGACCATCATTGGTGGAATAAAGCAGGAACCACTCTCCCTGTCTATAGTCACGAAAACATATGTGGCACTAGTTCAGGAGGAGTGGATGGATGAATGAATGAACAAATGGAGGAATACTTACCTGGCTGATTTCATTCTCTTGATTCGGTGCAGTGAATCTTCCTCTAATTGACAGCCTAATTCGGGTGTTACAAAATATGGAACATTGTCAGAAGAAACCAGAGAACTCCACAGAGTCCGACCCAGAGGAGCCTACAAACTGTGGTTCAACCCAAGATGAGTTCCATATGAAGATCCTGAAGGATATTTCGTGTGAATTCCTTTCTAATATTTTTCAGGAATTAACAAAGGTAGGAGAGAAGTGTTGGTGGGTTACTAGACGTGCTGAACTTGAAACTGCTAAGGCACAGGCAGCTGTGCTGTGAGGGAACTGAGACCCCAGCCGTGATGGAGAGATGGCCTGGGCGTAGTGGCCGGACAGACAAACTCTGGACCACTTGTAGTGTTCTCAGCTCCATTATTATTTTTTATGATATTGAAAAAGATTTCTTTTCTCCTCCTTTCTCCTCTGCCCGCCGGTGTGGTGCTGGGACCTGGGCCTCATACATGGTAGGCAAGTGCTGTGCCTCTGAGCTGCAGCCTCAGCCCGCTCTTGTTGGTTTTCACGGGGGAAGCGCACATGGTAGATGTCAGAGCACAACCTGCAAGGGTTGATTTTTCCCGTCCACCAGATAGTTATTTATATATAAAAGTAGTATGACTATTGTACTCAAAAGTAAAGTTTTGGGGAAATTTTGTTATTTTTAGTCTTAAAATAACTGGTCTTGTGTGTGTGTGTGCACACACTTATGACACTAGGCATATCAACAGACTGTATTACTAAAATTTATATTGATAATTTCTGATGTGTAAAAATGTTAGTTTTGTTTGATTCTTATTAGTGGATATTGTAATTTTATATTAATTCTACGGGTGAAAATTTGTGTTCTATTATGATTTACATGTTTTATTATTAGTGAGCTGGATTATCTTTCCATATATTTGTACATTATTTGTGTTTACTCTTTATAAAGATCTAATTTTTAAAGTTTCATACTTTTGTGATGCTTAGAGTCCACCCCAGGGCTTCTCACATGCTAGGCAGGTGTTTCCCCTCTGAGCTCCATCCCTAGACAGATGTATTCATTTTGTGGTTTATATGAATTTCTCCAGTGATACTTAATGTCTCAGTTGCTATTCTGTCACTGTGAAGAGATGTCATGACCAAGGCCACTCTTAAAAAGAACGCATTCAATCGGGGACTTGCTAATGGTTTCAGACGTTGGTCCATTGTCATCATGGAAGGGAGCAGGCAGGAGAGGTGCTGGAGAAGGAGCTGAGAGCTACGTGCTCGTCTGCAGAGAGGAGGAGACATTGGCTCTTTCTTGCTTGGGTTTTTGAAACCTCAAAAACCTAACAGTGACACACTTCCAACAAAGCCACTACTTCAGCAAGGCCATGCCTTCTAATCCTAATCCTTTCAAATAGAGCCACTTCCTGGTGACTAATCATTCAAATATATGCACCTGTAAGCACCAGCCCCATTCAAACCACCACAGCATCTTTTTTATTTTGCTTTCAGATATGTTTTTGATTGTTTGTCATTGCTTTAGGTTTGGGAGGAAAAGACAAGCCTGTTCGTCTTTAAGATACAGGCAAATAGCAGGAAGGTGTGTTGATTAAAGACTCAAAGACATGTCATGAGACTCTTAGGTACCACTTCAGAGAATTTGGGTTTAATCTTGAGGAAACTGGGGTGCAGCTGAAGTTTTCTTTCCTTTTATAAGCAAGTGATAAGATCAGTTTGGAAAGATTCTTCCAAACACAGCAGGCATAAAGGAATTGAGTTGAGGACTGGACGCCAGTAGGTGTATAGGCGGTAACCTTCAGGAATAGTCTGGAAATGAGAGCCTGGGATGAGGGGAGGTGCACGGGAGGGGCCAGCAGGCAGGCTTCCGTGAGTGGCACCCTTCACTGAGGTTAGCGGTGTTCAAGGTACACAAGGCTCTTCATGGCAGCTCAGCTGAGGGTTTGAAATGCCAGTGGGACCAGTTGTGATTGTGTATACTGATGTTTATCTGCTTGGCAGATGCTGCATTGGACATTTTCCTTTTCTGATACTAAGTTTTCTTTTGTTTGTTGTAGGAAACTGTGGCTCAGGGACTGAAGGAGGGCCAGTTAAGCAAAGAGAAATGTTCCTGTGCGTTTCAGAGCCTCCTGCCCCTCTACAGCCCTGTGGTGAGTAGGGTGGATGCACAGGGGCTGAGATTCTGTCAGAAACGGTGGTATACCTTACAAGATTCAATGCCTTGTGGGAAGGATGGCCGGTGGCTATATAATTATAATCTCAAGAGGAAGGAATCAACCTGGGTTTATAGTGCCCCTTCCTATTATGAAGTAGACAGCCTGTATAGTAAGTGAAAGTCTAAATTGTTTTAATTAATTTTTTTTGAGATTTTATTTGTGTGTGTGTGTGTGTGTATGAAAAAGAGAGAGTGTGTATGTGTTTTCCCCAGAATATATATCTGTGCGGCATATGTGTACAGTTGGCTAGAAAGGCCAAAAGAGGGTATTGGATCCCCTGCAACTGGAGTTACAGATGGTTGGGAACTGCCATGTGGGTGCTGGGAATTACATCCAGGTCCTCTAGAAGAATAGCCAGTTCTCTTAGCTCATGAGCTTAAATTTTTCTTCTCTCTCTCTCTCTCTCTTCCCTGTTGGCTCCCCTCCCTTGTGAGATTGGGCCTCACTGTTTAGCCTTGACTAGACTGTAACTCTGAAGTCCAGGTTAGCCTTGAACTCATAGAGATCTGTCTACCTCTGCCTCCTGAGTTCTGGGATTAAAAACATGTGCCACCATGCTTGTCCCCAAACCTATTTTTTATGAATACATTTTTATGATTTTTCACACAACACTATTTATTGCCGTTGAAGGGAATTTCAAAATAACAGTTTTTAGGGAAAATGAACTGTGGAAAATGAAAGCATAAGGGAACTTGTCAGCAGAGAGGGTTATACTAGAGTGTGGGTGCATCGCCCTAAAGGGAAAGCAGCCGGGGTCTGTGATAGCTCAGGAGGGAAGGAGCTGGTCAGGGCTGTCACTTCTAGAGTCACTACTGGAGTATTTCCGGTGACTGCAGGAAGTGCCATGGTTGGCACCTGTGAATCTGCTGCATGCTTCTGTTGGCTTCGAAAGCCTCTGGAGGAGCATTTTCATAGTTAACCATGAATGTCTTTAAAACTGCCTGTTCCTCCACTACAGTTACTTGGTTCTTTGTGTGGTTCACAGGTGGAAGACTTCATTAAAGTCCTACGTGAGGTTGATAAGGCTCTTGCTGAGGACCTGGAAGAAAGCTTCCCCAGTGTGAAGGCTCAGACTTGAGACCCAAGTTGGAGTTCCTGCTCTCTAAGCAATAAACTGTTTCCTATGCTTTGAAGTTGGCATTTGGAAGATTTGGATGAATGTTGTATCAGACCGGGTACTTCCTGATGTCCCTTCTCCCCGTTGACCCCACTTTGGTTTGCGCCGGTCACTAGAGCTTCTCCACTGTCACCTCCCTCCCCTTTGCACTGATTGTTACTGCTGTGTAGTTGACGAAGAGGAGATTCAAGCTTGTCGAAGCAGAGGTTCTTTTTCACATAGTAGAGTAGGTACGGATTGTCTTCATAAGTGTTGAGAACTTCGTGTCCTTTAGAAGTAAAGCTAAATAAGCTGCAGCAACAGAAGCCCTAGTGTGTCAGCTTCTCCGGTGTCTGTGTGTCTCATGCATGAGTCCAGAGACCGTCAGCGCAGGCCGTCCCCTTTCCCAGGCCCAGTGGCCGCCGTGCAGATCTTCGTACTTACTTACTCATAACCATGAGGGCTGTGCTGTTCCATCCAGGGATGAAAAGGAAGAGGCATTCTAGAAAGTTCTGCCAGCTTCCCCTGGCCTCTGTTCTGTGTTATATTTAACACCCCATCCTCCCCGCACTCTGTAAGAGGTAAGGTGTGACTGGCTAAGAGAGCTAACCTGCTAATACACTGTAGTGGTTCTGTGAGCATTTAAAAAGCTGTGCAGACTTCTCCTGATTGTTAGTGACAACTTTGGAAGCGTTAGTTACTGTCTTAGTTTGGGTTTCTGTTGCTGTCCAGAGACACCATGACCCTGGCAACTCTTGTGAAGGAAAGCATAGTCCATTGTCATGGTGGGACACAGTAGTATGCAGGCAGGCGTGATGCTGGAGAAGGAGCTGAGAGTTCTACATCTTACAGGCAACAGGAAGTTGACTGAAACACTGGAGTGTCTTGAGCATAGGTGAGACCTCAAAGCCCACCCCCACAGTGACACACGTCCTTTGGGGGCATTTTCTTTTTCCTTCCTTTCTTTCCTCCCTTTTTTCCTTCCTTCCTTCCTTCCTTCCTTCCTTCCTTCCTTCTTTCCTTCCTTTCTTTCTCTTTTGGTTTTTTTGAGACAGGGTTTCTTTGTGTAACAGTCCTGGCTGTCTTGAAACTTGCTTTGTAGACCAGGCTATCCTCAAACTCACTGAGATCTATCTGCCTCCCAAGTGCCAGGATTAAAGGTGTGTGCCACCACCACCTGGCTGACACCACAGTTACTTTGCCTTTGTTCCCCTGAGACACTCTGGTTCGCAGCTGGGGGTGGAAATGCATGGTTTTGCTTCAGAGCGTGATTTACTGGAGCAGATTGTAGATGAGATTGAGGGAGCGAGACAGCCTCTGCAGTCTGTCTCCCTGGTGCTTCGTCCCTCCAACCAGGGCTTCCTGATGAGGATACGGGCACAGCCAACAGGTGCTTAGGATTCAGTCCGCCTCACTTCAGATACTAACTGGAGTTCTTCATTGGCTTTTTAAAAGTCTCAGTCATGCACAATAAGGGCAGCTTTATAAATCCATCCCAGTTTTCCTCAGAACCTTTGAATCTAAGGGGCTGTAACTTTGCACTACTTGAAGGATTTGTGTTTATACAATGTGTCAAAGTTATCTTCATTATCCCAGCTAAACTGCGTGGAGGCTCTTGCCCTGAGGAGTGTCCGTGTCTTCTCACTATGGACATTAAGTGTGTGGTTTGGCACTAACACAGTCTAACACAGTCTTGTTGGAGGTCTTTGGTGGTTTTGTGGTATAGTAGGTAGGGAAAGAAACCATCAGAATCTCAAACATGAAAAGTTTTTAAGATATTGCTATTCTCAGTGCTCATTCATTGGGTTAGTCAAACCTACAAGCTGGTCAGACATCGTCCTCGTGGCCAGGTGTAATGCGAATTCTACTTGGTCTTAAATAAAAGCCTGGAGTCTGATATGGGGTTAATGTTGAAAGATCAGAGAAGCAGAGCGGCCAGGCACTCTACTGAATCCTCAGCCCAAAGGGGCGATCCTGTTCCTACAGATCATCAGACTGAATGCCCTGTGCTCTCATTTCCTCCCACCTTATATTCCTCTCTCCACCCAGCCACGTCACTCCTGTCTCCACCTCCTTAGTGCTGGGATCAAAGATGTGAGTTCTGTTTCTCTTTTAGACTAATTCAATCTCATGTAGCCCAAGGTGACCTTGAACTCACAGAGATCCATCTGCCTCTGTCTCCCAAGTGCCGGGGTTAAAGGTGTCTACCACTATTGTCTGGCCTCCATGGCTAGCTAGTGTGACTAGCTCCACACTCTGATCTTCAGGCAAGCTTTGTTACAGCACTGTTGACCAAGGTTGCTGTCCCGCCCGGTCCCCCAGCCATTTAGTCCCAAGAAATCACACAGAGGTCTAATTTAGTTATAAACTGATTGGCCTAGTAGCTTGGGCTTCTTATTAACTTTTATAACTTATATTATTATTAATATAATTAATTATATTATTAATATAATATAATAATATATTATAATAATTAATTAATATTAATTATTATTAATTAATTAATAATTATTATAATAATAAAATAATTATATTATTATATTAATTATTATTAATTAATTAATATTATAATTAATTAAGCCCATTATTCTTGCCTGTGTTAGCCACATGGCTCAGTACCTTATTTGGTGAAGCAGTCACATCTTGCTTCTTCTGTGGCTGGGTCACAACTGCAGAGAGAACTTTCCTCTTCCCAGAATTCTCATTGCCCTGCCTTTACTTCCTGCCTATTCACTGCACCTATACTTCCTTCCTGGCTACTGGCCAATCAGCATTTATTTAAAATATAATTGACAGGGTACAGACCATTGTCCCACACCACTTCTTCCCCCCCCCTTTTTTTTAAAAAAAATAAAAGAGCTTTTAATCTTATATCTTTTGTTTAGCTTTTCTCCTGTCCATTATCCATAACAACTTGTAACCAACATTCTAAACAAAGGAAAATATCCATAGTCCATTTTTTTGGGAATGTGGGCATAGTTTTCCAGGCTACTTCCTGCTGGTTGGGGACATTGATAATCTTATGGGGACCTAAAGAAAAATTAGAATTATGATCAAGTAATGACTGGAGTATTCTGTGAGGCTTCATCATCTCAAGTGGCAGTCTTGGATCTGTTCTGGATGTAGAACTCAGACATCTGGGCCATCTATCTGTTTCTACCAGAGATTTCTCAGGTAGTCTTCCTTGATCAAACCTGATTTTTCTTAACTCAGAATGAATCCACAGCCTCTCATTTTCTGTGAAATCAAAAGCAAAACCTCTTCTCCAAAGTAACATATCCTTTGACTTCAAATTTGAAGTCAAGATATTTTCAGAATACCTATCTTGGATTAATTCAGCAGCATTTATAAGCAAATATCTATTAGCAGCTGTTGCTCCTTCCTCATCATTCAAACAATTCAAAGAGAACATAGTAACACAGTATCCAGATTCTCTCTGTGTTTTCCATCTTTACGTGGCTTTATTTTAACCTCTATTTCTTTTATTTTTAATTTTTTGGATTTTTGAGACAGAGTTTCTCTGTATATTTGGCTGTCCTGGAACTCAGTATAAACCAGGCTGTTCTTGAACTCACAGAGATCTGCCTGCCTCTGCCTCCCAAGTGCTGGGATTAAAGGTGTGTGCCACCACACCTTGAACTCACAGATGTTGCAAGGAGGGGCTACTTGTTCTTCCTGGCCGCCTGGTTAACTTAGCCCTGAAATAACCACACAGAAACTGTATTAATTAAATCACTTCTTTGCCCATTAGCTCTAGCTTCTTATTGCTAACTCTTATATTAATTTAACCCATTTCGATTAATTTGTATAGCGTCACGTGGCAATGGCTTACCAGGTAAAGTTCTCAGCGTCTGTCTCTGGTGGATCCATGACATATCTCTCCTGACTCTGCTTTCTTCCTCCCAGAATTCAGTTCTGTCTTCCCCACCTACCTAAGTTCTGCCTTATCAACTAGGCCAAGGCAGTTTCTTTATTAACCAATGAAAGCAACACAAAGACAGAAGGACCTTCTACACCACACAGAGGTCTGTCTGCCTCTGCCTCCCAAGTGCTGGGATTAAAGGTATGTGCAACCACACCTTGAATTCACAGAGGTCTGCTACCTCTGTCTCCCAAATGCTGGGATTAAGGGTGTTTGCCACCACACCCAACTACTCTCTATTTTATTTTAAGGACTTTAACCGTTTTCTCTCCCAAGTCTGCATATATTTTTAACACTTTGTAAACCATGTAGAGGTTTTCTTCATCTTTGAATTTCTCTTTACTATATATCTCTCTCTCTTTTTGTGACCATGAGTCTTTAATTTGCTAAGCGATATGACTAGGATTAAAGCCATGACTTTGATGGCTGGATCTAGCCCATTACTTAGCTTCCTGAGATTCCAGCCTCATGGCGGAGGTACTACCAGAGCCTTGTTTATTGCCACCACTCTATGGCGTTTCAAGATCCCCGCCACCACCAAAAAAGCATGCAGTCATCTTTTCATCAACACTATTTAAGTGTTTTGTTAAAAGCTGCAAGGTTTTGCAGCTAAAGATGAGTCAGGAAGCCTCTCTTAAATGAGAGTGCTTGCCTCTAACAAGCAGAGTCCATCCGAGAATGTGCAGCTATCAATAAGCCATGTTTCTCTCTCTCTGTCTCTCTCTCTGTCTCTCTCTCTTTCTCTCTCTCTCTGTCTCTCTCTCTCTTTCTCTCTCTCTCTCTCTCTCTCTCTCTCTCTCTCTCTCTCTCTCTCTGTCTAGAATTATTTCCCAAGCGCTCTCAGGTTTTATGTGGATGCAGTTGTCCACATGGGCGCCATTGTGCTGACCTAGGTTTCTGTCCCACCTGGTCCCTGTAGACCAGGCTGACCTCAAACTCCCAGAGATCCGCCTGCCTCTGCCTCCCAAGTGCTGGAATTAAAGGTGTGCGCCACCACACCTTGAATTCACAGAGGTCTGCCTGCCCCTCGGTCAACACAGCACAAACAAAATCTCACCACAGCTATGCCTGACTTAGAGTAGTGGGAACCATGGGAAACCAGTAGACCCTTTGTG